GCAGGGTGCCAGATCTAGCACAGTGTGGCAGCAGGGCCCTGCTGAGTGTAGCTGCCTTGTAAGCAGTGGGTTCTGTGGTAGGCACGAGGGCCAACCTCATGAAACAGGTTGCACAGAATGCAAATCTCAAGGGACCCTGGGCAGTATCAAACAGTCCAGTGCTCCTAGCTTTTGTTCTGAACCCTGCCATCTGCCCCCTCTGGATCTGCTGCTGAGCTTCATGGCAGGATTGTTAGGGCAGAGGCTGAATCTCCTTCAACCTTCAAGAATGCATTTGCAAGATTGCAGTAAGCACAGCTCACACCCCATGTCCATAGGCAGAAAGCTTCCCTATGGATTCAAAGCTGGGACTATGTCCACAGGCAGCAACCTGGATATGCTGGGCCTGGAGTCTATGAGGAGGATTAGTGGCTGCCCAAGTCTCATGTATAGTGTGCTCTGGGAATACTGGCCAGGGTCTGTGGAGCAGAATGGCCTTACTCACTATTTTTCCCTCACAGACATGCTGCTGCTCTCTCTCAACCCCTATGACTACCACTTCTGTTCACAAGGTGTAACAACTGTGGACAACCTGGATGATGGCGAGGAACTCATGGCTACAGATGTATGTACATTGCTTCTGAGAGAGAGAAATGGGGGTGGGAGCAAAAGCCAGACAGAGGGGAGAGATTGTGGGAGCGGTCTTTAGATAGGGTAAGAATTAAAACCAAAACAGTTTTGCATGAAACTCACAAACTTTTCAGTTTGGGTTTTTTTGACAGAACCAAAATATTTTTATAACAGGAAGCAGGCACTTTTCACCACAAGAACCAAACAAACAAAACATAAGTTTTCCACTGAAAAAGTTGTGATACAAAGTTTTCCAGAATTGCCAGTTGTTGCAAGCTTATTGATTATGTTGCAAGCTTGCTCTCCATCATCTATTTTTCAAGGTCCTTTTCCTGGCATTGGGTGATTGCCTGAAACTTTTGGCTTTCATTTTTTTAGAGTAAATTTCATTCTCATGATTATAGCAGTAAAATGAAACCATTGAAGCACAGGAACCACAAAGGGTCAAAACCCAGAAATGAAGTGCCAATCTCCCAAATTTATTGTTGTTCAGATCATTGCATTTCTTTTACGCCAGTCTCATGTTTTCGGGGGAGCCTGAGTCATGGCTTTGAACCTGTGGGGTGGCCTATGTAGCTCAAGGGATGCCTTATGACAGGGTGACTGAATACGTTGAACCATCTGCACTACAGAGCCTGGACCAGGCAATTAGTGTGCTGTGAGGGACTGCATGTCAGACTGTCAAGCTTCCTGCTGGGGATTGGTTTTGTGATAAGTATAAATTTGCTTACCCTGCATGTGTTACTTTGCAGCATGCCATGGATATCTTGGGCTTCAGCAATGATGAGAAGTATGGCTGCTATAAAATAGTGGGAGCCATCATGCACTTTGGCAACATGAAGTTCAAGCAGAAGCAGAGGGAGGAGCAGGCTGAAGCTGATGGCACTGAAAGTGAGTTTGCTATCTTGGCAGTTTTGTGCATCTAGGTAAGGGTGGGCAAGCACTGCCAACCCCCACCAAAATGCATGAACTCCTCCTACTCTCAGACAAGATAGCACAGAGCTGGGCCAGAGCTTGGCTCTCCTCTTGGTCTACAAGGGGGTACAAGGCTATGATCTCAAAGGACAATCTTGTGTTAGCAGCATCACATCTTGGTGCACAAACTGGGATCTTCTTGGATAATTCTGTGGAGGATTGGAGACTTTTCCAGACAGGTTCCCCACACTGTTTGAGAAGAAGCCCATTGGCACTGGCAGATGCCGGTCCTGTGGGTACAGTGGGAGGATGCAGATGTAACAGTGACAGGCATAAGGCCAGAACCCACAAGGAAGGCTTCTGGAATCTGCCAGTCCAATGAGCATAAGCAAAAACACAGAGGGCAAATACAGAGGGAAAGAAGTATGAGACTCACTTCCTGCTTCTGTTATTTACTGGCCTTCTCCCTTATTTCCTTCCTCCCCTGCCCCCTTTAATGGACCTCATCTCATTAACATGAGTCAGTATCTACTGAATAGGTGCCACCTTACTCAATGGATGAAAGTTCCAACAAGAGTCCTTGCTGCTGGATGTGCAATCACTCATGGAATTTCTCAGTATTATTAATTTCTTTTATTAACAAGCTAAGAAAATTCCAGGTAAAAGATGAAAGATCATAAAGGCTGCAATGTGGCACACTTAGCAATCCAGAAATGAAGGTAGCATATGCAACCTTAATTCTGCCCCCTTGATCTTGGGCATTATGATGCCAGCTCTACAACAGTCACATGCTAATATTTGCCAGAGTTGTTGTGCAGAGTTGTGTACTCTGTACAGCTGCAATAGGAGGGATGAGGAGGAAGGAGGCATGCATCTTGCCACCAAACTGTGAGGATTAAAGTAAACCTAGTAAGATGGACCAAATCTTTTGGAACAGTTTCTCCGAATTGGTAACACCTCAGTAAGGAATACATGCAACAACAGTCCACCTGTAAACACCCCCCACACAGAATGCCTCTTTACGTCACATGACCAGAGGAATAGAGGGTAGGTGCTTCACCCAGTGAAAGCCAGCAGACTTTAAAGTCCTCTGTACTCTAGGAGTCCACATTCATTTCTTGAGTATGCCTGTCCCAACGCTGGCATCTTCATGGTTTGACACTGCATTGCAGGTGCTGACAAGGCTGCCTATCTCATGGGAATCAGCTCAGCTGATCTCATCAAAGGGCTACTCCATCCCAGAGTGAAAGTAGGAAATGAGTATGTGACCAAAGGTCAGAATGTTGAACAGGTGAGTGAATTGCGACTATAGTTCCTGCTTACGGTGTTACCTAGGATCTCAGCAATATGTACCCAAGAGAGTCATGACTTCAGGTGGCATTCCCAGTGGAAGGCACTTGGCTTTAAAATTCACCTTCTCTGGTGGTCTCACAGAGTCTGACTTTGGGAGTCCCAAGACCATGGGGTAAAATATAGATATGGCTTTTCAACAAAGTACAAATGGTTTTCATCAATGGTACAGATCATTCCTTGTTATTATGCTAGAGAAGTTAAGGAATATGGTGGCTTGATGGCCAGATAGTTTCAGACATTGCATTTTATAGACATGGGTCAAGGTTATAATTTTGATTCAAACTCTCTTGAACGGCAGAGAGCTTGGGCTCAAATTTCTGATCTCTCTAGCTTGGATCCAGACTTTGGGAGAGACCTCGTTTTTGTGGTTCTGTTTCAAATACAGGCAAAATCTCATGAGAATTTTGGTTTAAGATAGTGGAAGCCTCAACAAAACAACAGCTCATTGGGAGCTGAAATATTGCAATTGCAGCTTGTGAGATTTCAGCACCATTGATGGACCCTGAAACTTGGCCTGCGTTGTGAGTTAGGCCTGAAGGCCAGTCCTGTGGTAAACTTTTCAGACATGTTTATATGAATGAGGAGCCTAAGTTTCAATTTCAAAGAATCCTGAGTCTCATAATAAGTCACTGGGACTTTGCTTCCTAGATCACTTGGGTGCTTATGAAAATTTCACACCAGATCTAAGCTCCATTCCAATATCTTCTCAGCTGGCTGCATGTACCCTTAGGCAGGACAAAAAGGCACAATATAAGGGGCAAGAACACAGAACACATCCTAACTTACTGGCTGCAAACATGAAAGGTCCTTGATGGGAATAGTGATTTCCCTTGCTGTGGCTGGCTTTCCCCCTCCAGTTCTGAGAGTAGCCAGTCTGGCTAGGTGTAGAAAGAATGAAATCTTTTGGAACCAAGTACTTCTATGACAAGCCCTTTCTCATTTGCACTGACAGGTGGTGTATGCAGTCGGGGCCTTGGCAAAAGCCACCTATGATCGTATGTTTAAGTGGCTGGTGACTCGTATCAACAGAACCCTAGACACCAAGCTGGCCAGGCAATTCTTCATTGGAGTGCTGGACATTGCAGGCTTTGAGATCTTTGAGGTGGGCAGTGGGACATGCATAGTAGCTGTGCAAGGTGCTGGGGTGGCATGTATAGTAACTGTCTGAGATCCCCAAACATGGACAGAGCAGTTACCATGCCTTGAGGGAGCTTTGCTTCCTCCATGAAGAGACAGGTCTCTATGGAGAGTAGAGCCCTTGTGTTAATTCATTTACCCAGAATAACTCCTCTCAGTCTTTAGGAATTACTTTACTGTCATGGAGAGCCAGAGTATAGAGTGGGTTGGTGACTCCCTTGACTACTGTATGCTCCTCCTGTTGAAGCAGAGATTTATTTTATACCTATAGTATAACAGCTTTGAGCAGCTGTGCATCAATTTCACCAATGAGAAACTGCAGCAGTTCTTCAACCACCACATGTTTGTTCTGGAGCAAGAAGAATACAAAAAGGAAGGCATTGAGTGGGTCTTCATTGACTTTGGCCTGGATTTGCAAGCCTGCATTGATCTGATTGAGAAGGTAAGGCATAGGATGCTGAGTCAGGTCAGGGTCTGCTAGCAAGTTCATCTGTGTATGATACAGGAAGTGTTAGATAGGAATCCATTTGGACTGTATAAGCAGGTTTGGGCTCTAGAGGTAACTGTGACACCCCCTAGTGACTACGCAACCCTTACCCAGCTCTGGCTCTAGGGTGCCCTCCCCTTTTTATTTGTCTGCCATGGCTGGTTGTAATTGTTTGATTGGAAGGGAGTCTGTCTAGTGGGTCCTAGAGTGAGCCCTGGTTCCTCTAGATGCCAGCTAGCTCTTCTAGGCTCCTGCTCGTTTCTGCCCTGCCCTCTCTAGGTAGGCCCTGATGACCTGTCAGGGCCCTTCCCTAGGGTGCCCGTTAGCCTTAAGGGCTAATCACTGCCTCCGACCTCCCTTACAGCCATGCCCATACCTTGCAAATAATGACTTTGGTGGGCACTTGGCTCCAACTCAATAGCAGGCCACCTCAGACCCTTGCTGGGGCCTCAGTCTTCCCAGCCTCAGCCCCTTTTCTTTTGCTAGTTCCCTTAGCCTAGGCCTACTGTGCCTGACCTGGCTTCTGGAATCCAGCCTTTGAACAGCTAATCTGGTGTTTTTGCCCCATTCTGGGCAATACACTTGCTGTGCCTGCTTAGGTTCCTGGGATCCCTGGCCCTTGTCTCTGTCCTTTTTGTGTACAGGACCCCTGACCTTGGCTCCATCTTTCCTGGTCACTGGGACCTTGGCCCTTGCCCAAGTTAGGTTTCACCCTCTCTCTCCACTTTAATTCCCTCTCAAGTCTAAGCCTGTGGCATGCCCTGGCTTGGGCATCATGGCCCCTAGCCAGGCTCTTAACTCTGGCATGCCCCTGGCACCTCACTATGAGTTAAAACACCATGTGCCCCTCAGGCACCCCACCATAGCTTCTGCACACTCCCCTTTCAACCACTCACAAACCACCAGTTGACAGTAACCAAAGAGTAAGCTTTCTAGCAAACATAAACAACCCCTACCCCCGGTCCAAACATAAGCAATGGCTACCTGCCTGCATAACAAGGCTTCTCCTTACCTCAGGTAATGTTCTGCTGTGAGGCATCAGCACTTTATTTACCTTCCTCAAGATAGCCCCTGTGCCAACTAGGAGAGCTCTTGCCCCAGCAGCCTCCATGGCCAGACTGACTCTCCTGGATCAGGACCTGTGTTTATATACCTCCCTGGCCCTGCTCCTGCCCCCTACCTGTCATGTGCCTCCCCGAGATGCTGCAAGTGTTTCCTGATTCAGTTTCAAAGTGGCTTATTGCTGTTGGACTCTGCTGTGCTTCTGTCTTGTTTCCCATGCAAGGCTGTAGCCCATGGTGCTACTCCAGCATAACTAGTTCTGTGGTAAGTGCTTGCATCACGTAACTCCTGCAGTACCTGTTCCCTGACAGTTCATAATGAGCAGCTTTCTCTACCAGACTCCTGAGGCCCTTTCTGCTGCAGAAGCAGGAGCTCTGTAGCAGGAGCCTTTGGCTCTTTGTTATAGACTGCATAGGACTTTAAGAACCCCTATGCCAAATCAGTCAGCCAGCCAAGCAACACAACATAATAGGTCAGTAGTGCAGTGCATAACAACTCACTCTCACCAGTGTGACCTTTGTTCTACAGTGCTCACTAGGTCCTCTGGAGATTCCACATTCCTGCCTGGCACTTACTGGTTTAGAATAGCTCTGTACAAGTATTTCCACAGCTGGGGAGAAATCACATTGGCAGGGAGCTGACAAACAAGACAAAGTAGGTTTTGAAGGGCCCAAAGTCTCCTGGCTCTCACTGACAGTCTGTGGGAACTGGGAAAAATCCCTTTTGGGCCTGTGAAAATCTGACCCATTCTTGACTCTTACTTGTTAGGGGGAATGCAGCAGGCAAAAGATTTAGGGGAGAATTTCATGCTAGAATTGTCTTCCCATGTGGGATATGGGAAAGAAAGATGGAACTATTTCAGCACAAAAATTATGACAATTTGTGCCCTGGTTCCTACCCACATCACTTTTTGCTATATGCCTGAATGAGGAAACAGCCTTCTTTGACAGACCCTTGGCATTTTCTTGACAGTAGCACAGAACAAGTCTCCTGCTATTCAAGGGCAGGAATGACTATGGTTGTGACTGGAATAGGGTAGAGAGACATGGCAGTCTGTTTCCTGCTGTGCTGAATTCCAACCTGCTGAGGGTACCTTTGTCTTGCAGCCCCTGGGAATCCTTTCCATCCTGGAGGAGGAGTGCATGTTCCCCAAAGCCTCTGACATGTCCTTCAAAGCCAAGCTGTATGACAACCACATTGGAAAATCGCCCAACTTCCAAAAGCCGCGGCCAGATAAAAAGCGCAAATATGAGGCTCATTTTGAACTGGTGCACTACGCTGGAGTGGTACGTCTCAGGCTATTTTCTTTTCCATGGACTGTTTATGCCTTCTGTGCTGGGCTGCAATTACTCTTTCCTTTGTTCTTTCGCACCAGGTACCTTACAATATCATTGGATGGCTGGATAAGAATAAAGACCCCCTGAATGAGACAGTGGTGGCTATCTTCCAGAAATCCCAGAACAAGCTTCTGTCTGCTGTATATGAGAATTATGTGAGTGCCACTTCAGGTAAGATGTAGCCTTGCCTCAGTTTGCCCCTTACACAGACTACGTTCTCTCTGTGGCCATACTTTCATCATCCCTTTGCAAACAGCAGCCTGCTTCAGTTGGCTGGCAGCTCTGACAGTAAAAGACCATCACTTGGTCACAAAGAGGCCTTCTGGTTGGTTGGTTGGTGTAGGGATTGCTCTGCTGCACTGACCTATGGAAGAATGGCTTTAATAGTGCTGTATGGTCTCCTTGCCCCTGGAGTAGGGGTGCTGCAATACAGTTCTGGTGACTTTGGAGACAGATGGTGTCATGTGAATGAAGGGGAATCTCAAAGGGGAGGGCCAGATAAAACCAGCAAGGGTGACAGAAGTTTGTAGTTACCTGTGGGCTGGCTCCACAGTCATGTGTTGCTTTTACCATTTTTAGCAAAGCCTGGGGGCAAGTGAAAAAACTTGAGCTTGGGCCAAGTTTGTTGGAATTTCGCTCATATTTGCACCAAAGGGAACCAGGACTCACTTGCTACTCCATTCTCCCAATGTTGTGTGATAAAGGGAGATTCTGTCCTACACGCTGCTCCTAGGAGAAGATTCATCCAGCTGAGACGCAAGCTTCTGTGTATGTGCTCACCCATCCCCTACATGCAATGCCTTCCCTCCAGGAACTGTTCTCAGGCACTCATAAACTATCTACCACAACTAGCCCTAGGATGTGCTCACACCTCTTTCTCTTCCCCTCACCTATCACTCCCTGGGACAGCTGTTGTACCTCTAGCAGTACCCACAATGGTGTTAGTATCTTCCATGCCCAGTACATATGGCAGGTCATGGTTCAGGAAGGACACAAACCTTGCTTAATTAGATGCTCACAATAGAAGGAAAGAATACTTTATCAACGTAACGAACTGATGTTTCACTCTAACAGAAGATCCACCCAAGTCAGGAATCAAGGAGAAGCGGAAGAAGGCAGCTTCCTTCCAAACTGTCTCTCAGCTGCACAAGGTAAGGGCAACCCCCCATTCAGGCCATGAGGGAAACCTGTTCACAAGTCCCAGAGAGAGCCTATAACAGTTCCTGCGGATAGGCCTGGGTATTTTGGAACCATAATAGAGAGGAAAAAGCTCAGAGGGTGGGTTTTTTTGGAGCTTGGTCTCAGCATCTCCACCCATCAGGCAGTGTGTGGGTCACAGCCCTATTCTCTTGCTGTTTGCTTCTCATCTTTGTGTACTCAGTGAAGGACCCAGGGTCCTAGACTGAGAGGAAAATAGCTTCCTGTGAGGTGAGGCTTGTGCAGTTTCTGTCCCATGATGTCTGTGCTGCCTGGCGCCTGGCAGCTTCTTCGCCATTGAGAGAGCGGCAGTTAAGACTTGCAGTGATGTTTAGATAATGTATTACATGAACATCACTTTAAGTCTGTGCTACTTCTCTCCTCACTCTTGACTGCGGGAAGGACAGCCCTTGGGCAGAAGAAATGAAGGTGGATCTTGCAGAGCTCTGAGCACTCAGCCCCCTGGCTCTCCTGTATTGAGAGATGACTAAGGCAGTTTGCTAGCTCGGGGGGCACACTCCATTGAGCTCCCCAGCTCACAACCATAGCCAAGCTTCTCTGTCCATCTTTGAGCCAAGGAAGCAAGGGGAGTGGATTAGAAATAAAGCCATTGGGGTTTCCAAACATAAAGCCAGATCCTGCAGTAACAGTTTCACACTGCAGTGATGGGGGCGGTGCCAGCAACTCTGTTAGCTCCAGAAGCAGAGGACATGCTTCTGAGCTGAAGTCTCTTGGGTCAACTCATTTCTGGGATGTTTTCCTGGCTTTCTTTCTCATGAATAGTTCAAAGTCTCAAGGGAATGGCTTTTGCCTTTGACAATCCTAGCACTGTGTAACGTAGCTGCTATGAGATGTCTCTTTTTAGTCTGGGAGAAGAATTCAGCCTCTGGTGGCAGAACAGAGGTTGCCTTTCTCACAAGAGTGGTGAAGTCTCATCAAGTGAGCTTGGGCTGGTTCTTAAAGTGAAAGGAAACCCCAGATACTAGTATCATGTTAGCTCCCCACTCCACACTCTGAATAAGATGAGCTGCACCATGTGGGCCCATCCCCTCCATCCCCATGTACCCTCCAACATTGCCAATTTCTTTCACTGTAGTGGCATTGTGTAACAAAGTTCACAGGGGCTACCTGGTGGTTTGAGAGGAGGAGGCTGCCTGAGCAACGTGGCTGGCTCCTTCCTCACACTCCTGGGGCCAAAGGCAGGCAACAAATGGAAATAAAGTTTGTAGCTTCCTCTTCATGCCCACTCAAACATATGAGAAAACCATTATTGAAAGCAGTGCTGTCCAGTCCAACAGCTATGCTGTGTTCAGGAGGACCCCAGATGAGTGCCATGTAGTGCTTCTACAGGGCTGCAGCCCTCTAGTACATCTCAATGGAACAGAATTTGGGATGTTGGAAGGATACAAAGTCCCCAGATTAAAAAGTTATAGCAGGACTTTAACATTCCAGGATAAGATTAAGTTTTAGTAGCTGAAGAGCGAGCGATAAAGAGCTAGAAAATGAGGATTGAGGGGCATTGGTAGAGCTGCGGTGACCAGCAGATCAGGCTTGAAGGGTACTGGCAAAGCTATGCATGGGGGTAATCCCAGGCAAGAATAGGGAGGTAAAGGTCAGGATTGAAGGCTGCCTGCAGATTTTTCCCAGCACTCTTAGCTCTCACTGTCATTAACTTTACAGGAAAAATTCCAAGGAGATGGTACATCACCATCACCACCAAAGACTGTGCTGATGACATTCAGCCCTTTGACAGCCCTTTCCCAAGCGATCCAGGGACTCCACAGGGCCCTGACATGGGCTCAAATTAGTACTTGTGCCTTGGTTAGAGAAGGACAGACCATCACTGTGGAGGTTATTAGTGAGAAATGACAAATAGCCTCTCTGCTTCCACACGCTGTGGTGGGCTGGGCATGAGTGAGCTTCAGTGCATGGTAGGGCAGCAGGACCTTCCATCTCATCCTGCCTGTCTGCTCTACAGGAGAACCTCAACAAGCTGATGACTAACCTGCGTGCCACCCAGCCTCACTTTGTCCGCTGCATCATCCCCAATGAAACTAAGACCCCAGGTAGGCACCAGCAGGGCTTTGGGGCAGATTTGGGACAGGATTAGTAGTAGTAACAACTCATGGTCATTGTTCTTGGGCATGTGGCATGTGTATGTAGCGGGCATCCCCTAGACCTCTTGAGATTTCCATCCCCACCCCTCTTCACATCTCTTTTTCCCTTACACATGAGCCCTTTCCACCTGAGAATTGATTGCCATCTCCTGCCAGGAGGGGACACTGCTGGGCACAGTAGATACACCACTTCCTGTGCACCAGTGCCTGGGGCTGGCCTGAAAGGAGCAAGAGTCCCACTGCATCTGCAGAATCCTGGACTGCAAGAATTTCAAGGAACTCAAACTCCAGGGGTGTCTGTAGATGTGCTGCGGGGCTGCTTTGATGCACTGTAATTACAGCACGTCAGAGCAGACTTGATTAATTGAATCTGCTGGAGAATGGTAATTGCCGTGCTCCAGCCAGCCTCTGTGTCTTGTGTATTAGCATCTGCATGTTCAAAATGATGGCAGGGGGGACCTTAACTAAAGCTCATCAAATGAGCTTTAGTTCAAGTGCCCCCACTGCCATTTTGAAGTGTGGGGACACTAATACATGAGCTGCTGTGGTGCTTTAATTAGAGTGGCTCTCGGAGCTGCTCTAATTAAAGTGACCCCCCTACCCCAGCCCTGAAGCATGTGTAAAAGTGCTCCAGGAGCCTAAAAGCAGAAAGCACGTCATTTGGAGAAGCCTTGGTTAAAGCTCTTCACTTGGCATATGCTGCTTTTACCCTGCCAGGGTCTTCTGCCAGCAAATGGAATGCAGCTACCTTCCTGGCTAGAAGTCAAGCCCTGTTCCAGTTCTCTGAGCCTTTGTTCTGTCATGGGGCATAAATGAGTCCCAGGTAGCACATTCTACCTCCCAAGCCATAGGGAGGTGCCCAAGCCACAGTACAGGGATTTTATCCCTGGGCCAGAGGGCTGGGTAAGACCTTATTTCAAACAGGAGTCATTTACAATCTTCAGATCAAGGTTCAGCTGTTGACATGCCAACCCTGTATATTTTGGGGTTTGTCTTGGGCCTGCATCAACCCCTTGCCTTCTCTTTCCTGCAGGAGCCATGGACCCCTTCCTGGTGCTGCACCAGCTGCGGTGTAATGGTGTGCTGGAGGGCATTCGGATTTGCCGCAAAGGATTCCCAAACAGAATCCTCTATGCTGATTTCAAGCAACGGTACTTCTCCCCCTGCCATTTTTGGCATTTGTGGGGGCAGGGAAGAGATTATTTCCATGCTCTTCTCCCAGGATGAGCTGGTTCAGCCAAAACCACAGTAGGACATCTCAGCATGTGCTGTTCCCAGCATGCTCTGTGGCTGGACCTTTGGTGCATGGACCTGGGGTGTGCCTCAGAATTTGCTGATGGGACACAGCGAATGGGCATACCTCAGAGCCCTGTCTGCCATCCGCAGGGTGATATTCAGGACAAGGGGCATAGAGACCAAGAGTCTACTGTCTTGGGGCTGACAGTGTCAGTTCTCACTCCAGAGAGAATGTGGCCCAGACCCACCGCGTCAGGTGCACAGAGCATGTCTCTGAATTCTTTCCCTGTTCACCTGGGCCTTGCTGTACCGTGTATCTGAGTAAGCCTCAACCAAACCTCAGGCACAGTCTTCCACCCCCTTGAGCTGGACCCGACTCCTTACTGTGTGGAATCCACTTGCTGTATATTCCTCCTTTTTGAGGCCATAGTTGTGAATGGGCAGGGCCTGCTGGGCAGCCTCATGGTGCCCCAGTGCTCTCTGGGTCCAGAGTGGCCATACCATGTGGTGCAGAGACCTGTTTTTTGGGTTGGGTTGGTAACAAGGAAAGGGAGGAACTGGCAGCTCCAGAACAAGGGCTTCCCTCACATGCTACCCACCTTTGCATGTTTCTGCAGCTATCGTATCCTGAATCCTGCTGCTATTCCTGATGACAAGTTTGTGGACAGCAGAAAGGCCACAGAGAAACTGCTGAGCTCCTTGGATCTGGACCACACACAGTTCAAATTTGGTCACACTAAGGTGAGAGAGGCCTGAGCAGTAACAGGAGAAGGAAGCACTGAGCTAAGGAAGAAGCTGTAGAAGTGAGGAAAATTAGGCAGGACAGTCCTCTGCCAGGGGGTTGAAGTAAGAGAGCCAATCTTCCTCTGCCACCTCCAGCTCACTCTTCTCTCTACACTCTTCTCTCTGCTTTTCTCTTCCCACTGCACAGTACCCGCCAGTATGGTGCAGTCCTGGTGGAGTATGAGTTGTCTCTGACCCTACTGCACAGTAGCTCATTGCTACTGTTCAGTAGTGACAGCATCATGGTTAGTGCCCGCCGATGCTACATTGCCATAGCAATGAGCTACATCACTGTAGCTTGTTGCTATGGTGACATAACATCTTGTATAGACATGCCCAGTGATACTCAGCCCCTCTGGAGCTCTTGGTGTGAATCCCGTCTTCTCTATGTAGTGTCAAGAGAACATGAAGAGGACCTCCTGCATGTCTCACTTCCCTGCCTCTTCTTGGCTCCTATAGGAACTGCTAGGTTGCTTGTAGGAAGGGGGTAGGATGTGGATTGCTGTGTGGAAGCTGAAACCAGCTGAGGGTGGTGTATAGGAAAGGCAATGAAGCAGGCTGCAGAGAAAGAGAGGCATCTGGTGGTGGGAGGAGATTCCATTGTGGATGGGTTCCTCTACCTGGGAGCCCATCCTTATTTTAGCACACATTTCCGGCACTGAACACCCCAATAGCCTGTCCTGACAATCAGGGACCACCTGCTGCTGAAGGGGCTACAGTGAGCTAGTGCTTTGGGCCCAGTCTATGTAGCTCCAATAAGATGAACTCACAAGATGACGAAATGGTGAAACTCCAGACCAGCTGAGACTGCTGCAGACCTCAAGTGCCTGCCACAGCCACAGAGACATGAGAAGCCCAGTGCAGGGTTGAGATGATATAGTGGCTACTCTGTGTCACACCCCTTTACAGGTGCTTGGGTACCTGTTTTGAGCCAGTGACAGCCTGACACAGGTCTCCTGAGCTCAACTGTTGGTAATGCTCCATTGCTTACAGCCAGGGTTTCTGTCTCTCTTTGGGTCCTAAATGCCTCCTCTCTGGTTCCCTTGCCTGCAGGTGTTTTTCAAAGCTGGCTTGCTGGGCCATTTAGAGGAGATGCGAGATGAGCGACTGGCCAAAATCCTGACAATGCTGCAGGCCAGAATCCGTGGGCGGCTGATGCGTATTGAGTATCAGAAGATCATCAGCAGGAGGTGGAGTTACTGGGCCAGCATGGACTGCAATAGTACTCACCCTTTGTCGCCCAGCAGTCCATGACAAACCTTCTGCCATGCCCCGCTGGTTAGACACACCCATGATGGAGCTGGTCTGAAGGAATGTTGTTTCCTTAAGATCTGAGAGTTGCTAGAACTGGGATGGTTCTTACAGAAAGTCCAATTTTGATCAAGGGTTGATGAAACCCTGGTTTCCTACCAGCTCACCCGTCCAGCTTTTTACCAGCTTTCTGGGCAGGCTGGTGGGGAACCCAAACTCCCAGGCTGGCAACTCCTCAGCAACCCAGACCCCTGGGTTCCTGGCTCCAGGTCAGCCCCTTTACAGATTGCCTTTGAGCTGCAGCAAGGGCCAGATTCTCCCAACATCTGCACCCAACATACACTGAGCTCTGTGAAAACCTACCCTTAGGTGGGCTTGTTGGTGCAAGTGGGACCCTTTCTCTGTGACTCCTCAGGGTGGAATATAGGCAAGATGTCTGTGTGGCTGAGCACACTCCTCTTTTCCCCCAGGGATGCACTCTATACCATCCAGTGGAACATTCGTGCTTTCAATGTTGTTAAGAATTGGTCCTGGATGAAGCTCTTCTTCAAGATCAAGCCCCTGCTCAGGTCAGCTCAGACGGAGAAGGAAATGGCTACCATGAAGGAGGAGTTCCAGAAGCTGAAGGAGGCTTTGGAGAAGTCAGAGGCTAAGAGGAAGGAGCTAGAAGAGAAACAAGTCACCATGATTCAGGAGAAGAATGACCTGGCTCTCCAGCTCCAGGCTGTAAGTGCCTTGTTTAGGCACCTCCTCCTCCTGAAGTGGTATGGGCTCTGGGCAAGCAGCTTTATGGGGAGAAAACCAGTGTAGTCATTCCCCAAGAGATGACCCACATAGGCTAAGAGCAAGAACTCTGCTGTCTTTCTGGCACCATGGATAGCAGAGGGCTCAGACAAGGAATTGCCACTGGACACAGGAGTGAGGCTTTGGATAAATACAAGTGTACCTTGTCATGGTTTATGTCAGTGTTGTATACTGGTGTAAGTTACACTGAGATCAGGAATACACATATGGGCATTGTAACAGGCCTGTTTCCTCAAAGTCATTTGGAGCCCTCTAGTGGCCCACTGAGACCTGTTTAAGTACCTTGGCTGGGTCCCATCAGTTGTTTCCTTCACTTGTTTGCCACAACTTTGATGTTATTAGGAACATTTGGTAGACTGCCTTCCAATAACTCGGGTGTGGCTTTAAGCCTCCTGCTGCACTCTGAACTATTCACTGGGTTCCTTCTCTCCTTGGCTCAGGTCTCAGACTCTTTTTTTTCTCCTCTACTCAGTCTCTCAGGGCTCTTGCACCCTCTGCACCATCTCCAGGGCTCCTACAACCTCTGCACTGGCTCTCTGGGCTCCTGCAGACTTTACACAGGCTCTCAAGTATTTTGGTCACAGTTAGCTGACCCTTTCATAACCCACTCCTATTTCCCTGGGCCTCTGGCAGCCTGCCAATTCAAGAGTGATCAAAGCCCTTCTGTGTGGGGTGTCTTCCCACCCCTCCCCTTCAGCTAGTCTCATGCCTTGCAGACTATAAACCAGTCCACAACATAAAATATGAAGCTTATCCTTAGGCAGTCCCTCACAGTAGCTCCTTCCTGTCAGGACCTATGAACTGGATTGCCTTGCTTCCCAGGTCCATGAGCTTGCCTTCACCAGTCCTGCAAAGCTTCTGCTCCCCAGGACACCAAGTCCAAGTCCTGCTTCAGTCAAAGTCAGACCAAAACTGAGGATCCAAACCCTGGTCCTAGCATACACCTTCTCCTTCCTGGGCATCTGACCTGAGGTTCCCTTAACAGGGATCAGCAGCTTATTATCAGCCGAATTAACAGACCTGCTGCTACTCTTCTCTGCACGCCTGTCTCCCTCAATAAACTGCTTAGGGTCAGGCCCTTGCAGCTTGCCAATTTAACCCTTTGATGACTGCAGGGCCCTCAGTTCTGCTGTCTGACACTACCCATGAGCAGAACTTGGGTAGCATCTCCCACAGTGTCCTGGAGGCTGATGGCTGGTTCTCCCAGAGCTCTGGACCTGGCAGCAGCCCCTCCACAGTCTGAAGTTTGAAGGTACCATATCCCTTGCCAGGTTTCTCCCCTCTTAGTAATGAGGTCGGGGCTGTATTACAGCATCTATCCCTGGTTAGCAGCATACAGGTGACTATTACTATGCTTCACCAATAGAAGCATGTAATAGCCAGTTTGCCTTTAGCAAGTGGTTACCATGGGTTGAATGCAGACACAGAAAACTTAAGCCAGTGTAACTTACACCAGTAAACCTTTACCCATGATTCTTTCTCCACTGGATTGAGTGAAGTTATTCCAGTTCAGGGGTCTCTGCCATTGGTTCCGGGTTCACAAACACTTCTCCAACCGGCACCCTTGTCTCAGTGCAGAGACAGAGGAATGCCCAGGATCCACAGTTCCCCCAGGGTTGGGCAGTTGGGTGGAAAGCTTAACTGTCTACTGATCAACACTACTCCAGTAGTGTTTGGTCTCTGGGGTGTATCTGTTAATCATCTCCCATCACATGAAGTAATAGCTGGAGGAGAAGGGACAGATTATCCCTTATTAGCATTCTATTTATCCTGCTTCCTTGGGGATTGGTAGAGAGAGGGTGAGAAGGCAGCAGTGAGAAACAGTTCCTTCCACATGACCTGACCGGTTTGGATTTACTCCCCACATTAAGTGACAAGCAGGTGCATCAGCCTCCAGAGTCCAAGAAAACAAGGGAGTAGGGGTGTCTCTCCTCTCCTGGAGAGATGGTAAGCATGTGTTTCCTTGTGCATACTTACAGGAGCAAGACAACCTGGCTGATGCAGAAGAGCGCTGTGACCTGCTGATCAAAGCCAAGATACAGCTGGAGGCCAAGGTGAAAGAGCTGACAGAGCGTGTGGAGGATGAGGAGGAGATAAATTCAGATCTGACCTCCAAGAAACGCAAGCTGGAAGATGAATGTGCTGAATTGAAAAAGGACATTGATGACCTAGAGATCACACTGGCAAAGGTGGAAAAGGAGAAGCATGCCACAGAGAACAAGGTAACCAGTACTGTTGGTGAAAGGGACAGTAGGCAAATGCTGCTGCCATTTACCGGGAGCATGCAGTAAACCAACACCCACTGGTTTAACCAAGAGCAGGGATCCTTCTATGGATGTCCAGGGATCTTGGACATCCATAGAGTGTGAGAGATGAGGCTGTCTTAGATAACGGTGGGTGAAATACAGCTGGACTCTGGGGAAGATAGCATCTGGAACCGCAAAACTTTCCATTGTCCCAGAACACTGTGCATTCTTGGCATCAGTAGGCAAATCTGGGGATAATACTGTGTTTTTCGGTCTGAAAAAAAACTGCCATTTATTTTGCCTCATGTAACAGCTAAATAGTCTGGGCCAAGGAGGGAGCAAAGCAAACACTTTCATAAGCAGAAATGGTTCTGAGGTAGGGACAGGGGTGGGGTGGAGATAGCCATGATGGTGTTAGTCCATTCTGATGTCCAACCAAATATTATCCTGGCTGTTCCTCACTGCCTCACAACCCCAAACCCCCTGGAGTAGCTGAGCTCACTTTTTGTTCTGTCTGCCTAGGTTAAAAACCTGATTGAAGAAATGGCTGCTCTAGATGAGGTCATTGCCAAGCTTACCAAAGAAAAGAAAGCACTGCAGGAGGCACATCAACAGGCCCTAGATGATTTGCAGGCTGAGGAGGACAAGGTCAACACCCTGACCAAGGCCAAAGTCAAACTGGAGCAGCAAGTGGATGATGTGAGTAAAACATGGAGGCAAAGAATAGTGACAGTGATGGGCATCTACTTTGTGCCCAGGAACAGCTTCCTGAAGCACGAATACCCTGTGGGCCTGATGGATGATCTCATGCCTTAGTGCAGGACTGATGGGCTAGACAGTGGATCAATCTGCAGCCCCAGCAAGGGTCCAGTGCTAGTATGGAATGCAAGAGACTATCTGCCCTGATGCAGTTACAGCCGGGTCAAAGGCTGGAGCGTCAAAGGCCTGGATACTTTAGTGGAGAAGCAGCCCAATGCAGAGGGGGTGGGCAAAATGCCCTCTACTGGCAATGCTAGAATTCCCACAACAATGGAAAGGAGACCCCCACTACAGGGGACAGGAAGGATGGGGAAAGAAGGGAAATGCCAAGTGAGCAGGAGGTAAGGTGCTTCCCTGCCTAACTCACCTTCCTGAACCTCTAGCTGGAAAGTTCCCTTGAACAAGAGAAGAAGATAAGGATGGACCTGGAACGAGCAAAGCGCAAGCTGGAAGGGGACCTGAAGCTGACACAGGAGTCAGTGATGGATTTGGAAAATGACAAGCAGCAACTGGAGGAGAAACTCAAAAAGTAAGTGTGTAGCCTGGGGCAATGCCCACAAGCCAGTCCCAGCAGATGCCACTGTCTCAGCCCCCTGCCCACCTTCTCATGGGTGGGTCACTCTCAGGTGCTAGGGGCCTGTGCTCTGTACTTGTCAGGACACATTTTCACATGGGAGATGAAGCCCAGAGGGTGAGTAGTATGTGTGCAGGGAACCTGGGGCAGAGCTGGAAAATGAATCACGTAGCCTGAACACAGGTTCAGAACCTGACCTACATGATCAGGTTTTCTCTTTAATGTACCAGTAGGGCTTTGGAGGCTGCAGAAGAACACTCAGGAAGCAAAGAGAGAAAACTCCAGTGCAGAGCTAGACCTCATGTTCCTGGTTGCTGCTAATGTCACCAGCAGCAGGCATGTTGGCACCAACTTCCACCTCCTGACTGATCAGGACACACCTGTGAAATGGGTTAGCTCCTGACCCTCTTTCATTTACTTAACACATCAACAACCTCCATAGCACCAGGGACATTGCCCAGGGGGCTGGAAACAAAGCCTGCCTGGGAACTGCTGTTCCGGTGCAGAGTTTCTTTGTATATATAGGTTCCTTCATGCTTTGATCCAGGATCAAACACTAGTACCTTGACTGTGAGAACAGTCCTGCACTGGGCCTGGTCAACATACTAGAAGGGGGCTGGCAGGTTTTTGCTGTCTTGTGTCTGCCAAATTGCAGGACTCTTCCTCTTCCTGTGCAGGAAGGACTTTGAAATGAACCAGTTAAACTCAAGGATTGAAGATCAGCAGGTGCTTGAGGCACAGCTGCAAAAGAAAATCAAAGAGCTCCAGGTAAGTGGAGAGAGGTGTCCAGGTAGCACAGGCAGGGAGGTCCTGGAGGAGCCCAGGGGGCTGGTTTGGTGCTGACACAGGTTGGGCTTATGTCCCATGCCTGCCAGATGAACAAGCATGTGGTGCCTGGAGGATGAGGGTCATACCACCCACCTGTTTGGGTCTTCCCTCTCCTCTGACTGGAGAAGTGTTAGGTTATTCCTTCCTCTAAATGAGTACAAGTTTGTACCCACATCTCTCTCACCCACATCTCTCTCACTTAGCTGAAGTCTGCTGGAACAAAGCTCTGCCTGGAGTCTCAATCCTGGTTCAATTGAGTGAGTGGCAGATATAACAGAGCCAGCTGCTGTCTCCCAGGCTGCAGTAGCACAGCAACTCTTTCACAGTGCATCCCCTTGTAGTGCCTGATTACTTCCAAACAAGAGAGGGTTGCTAGTTTAACAACATGAGTAAGAGGCAGCAGCCTTCTGGGCACTGACCTGGTTGAGTCCACAGTACCTCCTCATTGGAGGAACATAGAAAGGGCAAAGCTAGCAGTGCTCTGCTGATGTCATAAACTGAAGCCTAGGCAAAATCTTAGGAAAAGTATTAAATGATTATGAGATCACCACAAGCACCTGTCCCTGCAGCTGTGATTCCACACTTGGAATTGAGCTCTTTGCCCAAACCAAATCCACAACTCCATCCCCCAGATGGACTTTGCAGATGAAGGTTTCATAAATTGTACTCCTTTTTAACAAAGGGCCCAACCAGAACTCCAGACTTTAATTGTCTTGAACTTTGGGGGCAAGACAGAGGATTGAGGCCAGATCTGTACCTGTACCCCAGAGGTGTGGTTCAGACCCAAGTGTCAAACATTTCTAGGCATGCTTTTGTTAGTACTTCTACTCAGTGTTCAGC